AACCTCTGCTTACTAACCTTTGTTTGTGAAAGCATCTTTCCAAAACTATCAACAATTTCAAAAATATGAGTTTGTCAATTTAGTTGCATATTTCTTTGTATGTTTCATGTTGACATGACTCAATAGTGTAGTGGTTAGGGCATTTGGTCTGAGATAGTCATAGGATGAGAGATCAAAAATGTATCATTGCTTCGGAGAGCACACTTACTGGTCCCGCTCCTAGTCTTTGATCCCGGCTCTTTCTGTAGTAGCTAACATCCACCTCCCTCGATAGGCCCACATCGTAGGTTACCGTCTGTATTTTTCTATTCAATTGTTGTACCCCAGCAGAGGAAATGTTTTCCTCTGTTGGTACACCAACATAAGGTGATCGATGTTGATGTTTTATATCTTCATGAATTGCTTAATCATCTTAGTAATTAATTTTAATACGTATACTATAGTAGTTTCAGATTTAGTAACATCAACTTACTTCAACAATAACAAATATGTTTAAGATCCGTTAAAACAGATAATAATGATATCATTTGGCAATGGTTGGATGACGTCATAACATTACTCTAAACTCCACGTAGGTTTTGCTTGTTAAAATTATTTTACTATGTGAAGAAAGAGGACGGTGCAACACAGTCAATGTTAAAGACAGCGTGACAGATATTGACAAAACAGAAACCTTTATTTTAACTCCAATTATAGTACTTATACAAAAGAGACTTAGTTTCTCCTGTTATCTTTAGAATACCTATAAACAATCGAAGACATAGCTTTGGCTACGTTTAGTCTACTTTAAACAAAACGATTGCTACCATTATATTTCAAAATATTAAACGAAAACTAAAAGATTTGTACAACGCTATTCCAGCGAGAATGTTTTGAATCAAAACCTCAGGTACCGAGCATCTGAGTCTATCATGTATGCGCAAAGTTTGTCAGTTTAGTTGTTTCAAAGATTTCATGTTAAGTTTACATACTGAAACATTCTAAGCATAATTATGTTTGCAAAATATCTACGTATCCTTTCTATGAAATATAGTGTTCAGAGATAGTAAACTTTCAGAACAAGATAGCTTACATAATATCGAACCAAGATCTATCCGTCTTAATATAAATGTGATATAATACGATGAATAAATTTGGTTCTTGGTTTAAACCATTGGCAGCCTAAAGCAAATAAACAATCACAGAAAACGTCAAATTGATTTCTGTTGAATTCTTTTGGTTTGTTTGTTGGATAAGTAATAATAATAAACTTTATTTTAAATCCAGTGATCCATATTAAACACATACAATACAAATCACAGAAACATTTTATTGCAACTAAAAATATTATATTAAACATTATTATTAAACCTAGTACTTAATTAGACCTCATTTAAGATGGTATGAGTTTTGATAACTCGTTCCGTTTTGCTTTAGAACATCAAGATCAAGGAACTGAAATAAGTATGTGGAGCATAAATGCACAAGTTGGGTTTAAGTCTCTGGAAAATAGAACACGACCAAAAGAAATTCAAATAATGTGACACACAGATAGATAAGTTATTAAGAAATGACGCCGTATCCTGTGTTCGGAGAAGCTCTCCTACATTTTCTAATATTTAACAATTACTACCTATGCGGACTCTTTGCCCACGTGACTCTGACTTAAATCCGACCTGACGCTCTGCTCTTTTTCTAATCCTCGAAAATATATTAATCTGATTTAATATTTGTTATTTTGTTGTATGGATAGAAATATTTGACAAAGATAATTTAAACTTTGAACTTTGGTAATGTCTGTTGGTTGTTTTAATAATATTACTCTGCCGACATCATAATAAAAGAAAAAGATCATCTTCTGATATAATTAAAAGGAAAGATTTGATTGTTTGCATTTTATAGGCTCCAAAACTACATACCGATTGTATCGATCATCTACCAAAAATTGCATCTAAAACTGGTTAGTTGATATTAAACTATAAACATTAATTCAGAATATATTTGGCTTTGAATATTGACATCACCTTGCCTTTCTTATCGCCTACACTTTTATTATTTAATAAAAGAAAAGATTAAGTAAAAAAAATAACATATTTTTAAAACTTAGAGCCAGATCGATAGATTCAAAGTTTTATAATATTTATTAAAAATGGCAACTTCATTACACGCAAGCAACAAATCATAATATTTTGACATTCAAAAATAATTAATCCAATCTACCACAGTTCCACCAATATTTTTTATAATAGATTCTACTGAAACGTGGCGTGGTCATATCTGTGCCAAAGCGAAGTTGAAGCGCAATCTTCTTATGTTATTAAGCCCGGCTTCGGCCTACTACGACGTAAGTCTCGATCAACCTTCACTAACTATAAACATATCAGGCTTTGCTCCATTTATTGTCAATATAAAATGACAGTCCGATTTAAGAACGAATGAAAAAAAAAGAATGAGAATTGTCGTTGTTTCATATTACTACGTCAAATGAAAATTGACTAATGGCATAGATTTCATCCCTCGCTAGATGAAAAAATAAGGAATATCGCGGGGTCGATGGTGAAGTAGGGAATAGATTTTGTCCTTCCTTATAGTAAAAGAAGGAAAAAAGTATAAAGAATATAATGATATCGATGGCTCCGTAACAGTGGTTAGTCTGCGTTTGTAATGATCAGTCATATCGAACTTAATCCAAATTCGATAAATAATCTAAGTTAATCAAGCCTGATCCTGAAATCATGAACATTATGTTTAAAACCGCACTACGTTCTTATGGTGGATAAAATCTACTTCAAAATGTAAATAAGGGTTTATTTCATAGAAGCTTTATGCTCTCACAGCGCTGTGCTCGACGTGATATTTTTAACAGAACAGTATTGCTGGTGGAGTGGCGGTAATCAAAGGTTTTTTTTTGTACTTAATGAGTTGGTTGCTACCGTCCTCCTTTTGATTATAAATAAAAACATCCATACTCTTTTGTAGTGATGTTTCCAACACAAAACATTTTGATTTTTTGCTTTGGCAAAACGATATTTTTTACGCCTGAATTTTTCTTTGTTTCCTTTTCAGCAAATACGACGAGAAGAAATAAGACAAAGGTAACACAAATATTGTTTGAGGGCATCCTTATAAACATCTCGTTTGCTATCTTTTGGTTTGGATCCCTCGGCCTCGGCGACCACAAAATCTTCTTATGTTATTAACTTTAACTTTGATATCGATAGTGGCCGTAAGCTAATCCTTTATTGGTAGCATTTTATTTCATGTTGATCTTTGTGGAAAGGGTACAATATATTTATATTTTATAACATCACTAGCTGCTCGCTAAAACAAGGCATAGCCTAACTAGAAAATTCTTAATCTTACGAATCACTTAACGCGAAAGAATAGTTTAACTACAAATATACTTTTTCTTTTCTTTTATTCCATTATACATTTGTGATCTGTTATATTAAGCAAATGCCTAGCGCCAGGCGCCACATAACGCATTGAAGTGGTTCCAAATTATTTGTAAAAAGCATTCTCACCTTAGTTGATTGCTAAATATCTAGGCGACAGATTTGAGCGACTCGTAAGTTTAGTGAAAACGAATACATTTATTTTTTTTTCACGATAAAAAGACACCCATATCACACTCTAGTATGTCAAATATCTCCATACAAACAGTCATACCATAACGACGCTCTATCGTAATATGGTCATGAAGGAATTCTCTTTTGTAAAATAAAAATAAGGTTTTTTTTTTTATTATTAATTACGGATATTGTAGTGAATTGAAATAAAGATGATTTCTGTTCTTGTCCCACCCATGCGACGCTATATTTGGTTCTCAAGGTTAACGCGTCATAAGCATTTATACGTTTAAAGATACTTGCTTAATAAAGATTTCAATGTTCGCTTCTCGTTAAAATATCAATATTATAGTCGTTTTCCTACGATTTCACCCGCATGTCGTGTAGCTTCCTGTAAGTAAAATAATTTACCTGATCGCATCAGTATTTCCGAAAATTACCCTTACAAACGAACAAAGTTGGAAACTTTACCTCATGTTTTAATAGAATAGATTCTCTCGAACTCGATAATTAATACACTTACAGTTAATTTATTCTAAAATAAATGTAAATGTTAGTACCTCACTTAAAAGACAATAACTTTCAGATGTTTCTGCTGTTAGATAAGCACGAGCCAAGTCCACTATGGCCGCAGGCGAGCTTAGTACAGCCAACTGCCTACAACAGATATCCCCTTTTGTTGTACGTATCTCCGGGGATCCAGCGAAACACTTAAATTAAAAACGTCACACCAAAAACAAACAATGGAAGTTGCGATAAAATTTTGTCACTGTTCGTATTATCTAGAGATTTAACCCTCAAAGGACACGTTGTACTACTTCCCTTAACTTTGTAGAACTTCTGTGAGTCGAATATGAAAATGATGTGTAAAAATGTTGTTTTATAAGTAAGTGAAAAGAAATAATGTAACTTCTATAGGTGTATGTAAGTCTGTTCGTCCGTTACAGCTTATTACTAGATCGATTCCGTCTTAGTATAAAACGAGCACTAACTTTAATACCAGGATCCGAGCAAAATAAGTAAACACGTCTCCACTTGACGTTTTCTCGTCTGTCATTTTTTATTTTTCTTTAGATGGCCAATGGTTTATTTGAACCAAGTACCTACAAACTTTAGTTCTTATTTTTAATAAGACAAATAGGGTTGTAGTTGTTGGTATATGTACTATGGAAATAGAGTAAGTACAAGGACGTTCCAAATACTATCCATAGTCAAAGATTTGATTATAATATTGATTGTATAAATAAAGTTATATAAAGATTTCAATGTTATTGTGTAGGTTTATTATTTCATAAGTTAAATAAATAGAGCTATGTATATCATCGTCGTCACTTCATCAGTGAATTGTATTTTTAAGCTTAAATCTATTACTATGGATACAAACTATCCCTTCATGATTTTTTTTTTATAAGAGCATTGGCTACCAAGGCCATCAGCTTAATCCTTTAATACATAAGTATAATTGGAGCTAAACATTACTTCAATCCTTAAACTAAAAACTCACCTTCATTATTATTAATTATGATAATGACACCACCGGACACCACAAACCTTTACATTGCTAAGCACAATACAATGAAATAAATCATAATGTTTATATGGATATAAAAAATAAAAAAAACTATAAATATTTATTTATAATTAAGATCATTTAAAAATTCTACAACTTGTATTTATATACATAGAATATTAATTTGGATGAACAAGCAAGCAAAAAATCTTTAATAGATGTTACGATCAAACAAGTTATCGAGGTCATAGATGTTGTACACAATCAAATCCCCTCTCGCATTGCTACAAATTTCTTGCAAAATGAAGACGTGCCTTGTGTTATTCGTTGTTTTCATACAAATAAGTTTAATTAAATCTAGTGAGTTCAAATCACATGAAAGAGACAGTTCTATATTTCCTTTTAAACTGTCATTGAACACTGGCAGTTCGTACTATGAAAACCCACAATACCAACCAACATCTTCTGGTACAAAAATCGAGGATACTGAAGAAGAGAAGCCAATATACAACATTCAAGATGCTCCTGAACTATTCGAAAAATTTAAAAAAGATTTCAATAAACATTATAGAGATTACGAAGACGAAGAGAAACATTATCACGCATTTGTGAACAGTTTAAGAGAAATCAATAATGTTAATTCATCAGGCAAATCGTATTCAGCCGATATCAACTTTTTATCAGATATTGATGAAGACGAATTCTCTATTCTTAATGGCTGAGAAGTTGCTGACATTGAATTTATAGTGAGTTTGACTGGTATCACGTATTTCTTTCCTTTTAAATAAAACTTATATCTACCAAATATTTATTTTTTATTAAAAGGTGACACAGCTTCCTTAATCTTTTAAATACAATATCTAATAATATTATGAACAGGGATAATTTGATTGTTTGTTTGCATCGAATAGGCTCCGCTATGAATGTACAGTAGGTCTATTCAGCTAATGTTTACGTAATAATCGAATCCCAATAGAATCTCGACAAATTAAAGTACATTTCACCTCTGTATGTACATTGTACTTAAGGAAGTATTATGTTATTAGTTTAAGTCTTCCTCACAAATCAATAGTGACAGATATATAATAAAATTGAACTTCAGGTTAATAGTACAATAGCAAATTGCAAATAGTAGAGATTCTATTTAAAGCAACTGCCTACAATTGAAGTGTCCTAAAAGACTGCATCATACGCAGATGACATAGGCTATAATTTGCGCGGCCAAAGTCGCCAGAAATCAAATATTAGTGCACAAGTTTATTTTGCGTTTGTGCACCAGCTATTTAAATGGTTATGCTTATCATTTTTCTATATGACATAAACCCATTATTATTTTGCATAAAGTCAGTGTGTGTAGGATGATTATCGTGACATTTATACTTTGAAAAGAAATCGTGGGACTTTGCAGCTTTCCAAATCCGTAATCCGTATTAGAACTTTAAATGTGTCTGTTCATATCACAACAATGTCTTTTCACTTCAATTTAAAAATACAAAATTTCACACAACACTTACACAATGGTTGTTACTAGGTCGTGATTGATATGTTTGAATATCTTAGTATTTAAAGGTTAATTGTAAACTTAAAATATCTTTTAATATTTGTTTATGTTCAACGCGATTGTGCACAGAAAGTGCATCATCAAGTGGTTTGTACTTATATAAATTGTAATGTTAATGGTATTTATAATAAATAGAAAAAAAAGAAAAAGACATCTACAATAAAATATCCTTTAGCAAAAAAAATATGAATGGAATGCGCAAATAGTTTTCTATTTCTATTCACTATAATCTTAAATTAAGTGTAATCTAATCTAATAAATTTTATTATAATTGCAATATGTAATGGTTGTAGTATTTGACAAAATCTTTGTAACTGGGGACTTGTAATAACATTTATGTATAATGGATATGCTCTAATGATATCTATCTTAAAGAAACATGCCGTGAAAACTTTGAGATACAACAAATACGCTTTCCGCCGTCGATACACCTATTTAATTATAACTAATAATAATTGTAATTATAACTAAGTTTTTTTCTTAGATAAAAACTAGTTTTGTGACTGCAAAATAACAACTCTTAGGAATGATAAACAACCAGAATTATTTAATGACGCTATTAAAAATTGGTTGTTGAACTGTGATTTTAATAAAGAAGTGACGCTTTTGTATAAAATAAATGTTCAATATTGCATATTGAAGTGGAACAAAAATAGCAGAGACGCAGTTCTGTGAAAACACACAGGGTTGTCGTACTCTATATTGGTTGAAAAATAAATAAAAGAAATAAATAACGTAATACTTATAGAACGTTCTAAATATAATTTACTACATTATTATCATAATTTCATCTACGTCCACTGTTAAGCAAAATTCTCCCCCGTGCATGTCCCACCTCTGTCCGAAATTATCCTTGTCAAATCGTAGCTCTCCAGCTACTAGGACCTGCCCCGAGGGATGAGGTCAAGCGACGCTGGTTCACCCGATAAAACCTCACATGGATACACAGCGAGGATTGCTCGAGCCCAATCGACGTTTGAGTGGTTGATCCAACTCAAATGTGGAAAAGTCTTGTGTACAAAATAACCTATTCCTGATGATGTGCCTAGGGCGTTATCCAAACGCACGGGTTCGTAGAAGAAGGGAATGCTTTAGTAGGCAAGCCTCTTCTCTTTTCCAACTAGCAGGGGGGAAGGGGCTATTCGTCCGGTGCGCGACAGTTTTTCTGGAACCTTTCAGCCGCATCGAATACAGTTTTTATGTTTCTTAACTTATAAAAACCTATACCTTAACAAAATTGTTTACAAAACCTATACTAATGTTATAAATTGGAAAGATTTTACTTAAAAAACAAAATATTTATATGCTTTAGCTAAGCTTAATTATATTGTATAAAATAACGTATTTGTTGCGGATCTTCCTGGATCTTGAACAGATTTACACGTAGCTAGCCGATGCTTGGACTGTATAATTGAAACTTCCTTCGATGGTTTTCACTTCTTCTTTATTCTTAAATCTTGAGGGCCGGAGAGCTTACAAATTTCGCTCAAATCGACCCGTCTTACATTTGTTGGGGTGGCTCGCACTTAGCTCCGTATATTATCAGTTGGTTAGCCTATTACACATCTAACCCCTACTTTGCGAAGCCATCCCCCACCCTTAACATCTATGTATCACATTATTGTTAATTACTACGTTTTACTGTTTCTACATTTACATCATAAATCACGTTGAAACATCATCATATTACTGTTACATAACTCGTATCGTGTCGGGCAAGACCGCGCCGTCGAAGCTCATAATCATTCTAAGGCGCGCCGCGCTCTTGCCCGATGTATTTATGTGGTCAGAGCGAGACGGAAGATCCCGCGTAAACCAGCGCCGTCTCGCTCCGATACATTTTTATTGTTAACATGAAGGTAGTCGAACATTTTACATTTTAAACACCCCTGTATCGAGGCAATACCGTATAGAAACCCACATAAGCTCCCTTGACTCGGGCAATACCATATAGAAAACCCACATAAGCCTCCTTGAGTGAAGCAATACCATACAGAGAGCTACCTAAGCCTCCTTAGCGAGGCAATACCTTATAGAAAACCATAGCAAATAAAATCCAACCCCTCACAATCATTTAATTTGCTATAACTTAAATTATCTTAATACTAGGGGAATAAATACACCCATAGGTTGTATCATTTAATTCTAAGCTTTAACCACATTCATTTAACTAAACTTACTTATTATATATAATTTACTTAAGATCATCTAATATATACAACTCGACGAGACGTGCGTCCGTAACAGAGCTCCCCCCGGCGCAGCATCCGCGTAGCCCCATCACTCCATCGTCAGGACCGCCAGTCTCGTCGCCGGTCGCCGGAACGTGCCGCCCTTCGTCTTCACCTCCACATTGCGTATCTCGTTGTCTGGTCCAGGATATACTTTGGTGACGACGCCCCTTGGCCATATGTTGCGGGGTAGTGTGTGATCCACAACTATAACCAAGTCACCCTCTTGTATCGCACGACGCCCAGCGTCGCGGGCACCTCCACGTGGTATGAGCATGGGAAGGTACTCTCGTAGCCATCGACGCCAATATTCATCGGCCAGCGCTTGTGCTGCCCTCCAGGTTCGCTTGTCGGCGCGCTCGCACGGCCCGGTAAAGGGCAGGCCGTTCGAACTACCCAATAAAAAGTGATTGGGCGTGAGTGCTTCTGGATCTTCAATATTGACTGGTACGTGTGTCAGAGGTCGAGCGTTTAAAGTGTATTCGACCTCGGTCAGTAGTGTGACTAAGACTTCCTCTCGCGGCGATTTTTCATGTAGCGTCACTCGTAATGCATTCTTGACACTTCTAACGAGACGTTCCCATGCGCCTCCTTGGTGTGGCGCGCCCGGTGATATGTAACGCCAGTCGACTCGTTGTGTAAGCGCATAGTCTCGTAGTGCCGGCTCCCATTCATTGTATGCGTCCCGTAGCTCACGGTCGGCACCTCTAAAATTCGTCGCATTGTCACTATACATTGTCTTAGGCCACCCCCTCCTCGCCGCCATTCGTCGTAGTGCCATAATCGCGGAGTCGGTAGACAGGCTCCCCACCACTTCGATGTGCACGGCGCGGGTTGAAAGGCATGTGAATAGCGCCCCCCACCTTTTCTCATGTCGTCTTCCTATTGTCACCGTCATAGGGCCAAAATAATCGACGCCACAATTACTGAATGGTCTGATAAAGGCTTCCAATCTTACTTGAGGTAGATCACCGTGTACTGGTTTCGTAGGTATCGCTTTTCTCACGCGACAGAAAGCACATTTATAAGCCACTGCACGCACCGCTGGTCTTAATCGTAATATCCAATATCGTTGTCTAACATCATTCACGACGCGTTCATTGTTCGCGTGATGGGCGCGACGGTGTTCGCGTTGAAGCAACAGCCGCGCATACGGGTGGCTGCCGTCCATTATTACTGGCGTAGTAGCGGGGGCAGACACACCCGCTGCCCTTATTCTCCCGCTCGCTCGTAATACGCCGTTCTCGTCTATGAATGGATCCAGTTTTCGTAATCGACTGCTGTTAGACAACTTTTGGCCAGCTTTAAGACGGTTAATATCATTTGTGAAGCTTTCTTTCTGTGCGTTTTTCAAGAGTAACTCCTCTGCTTTGTTTATGTGTTCCGCGGTTAAATCAGTACCACGGTGGCGACATCTATCGACGAACATTAAAACTCTTGCCATCGTTCTCACGTAGCGTTCGTAAGAGGAAAAGCGATTCACATCGGGAATGCTATAGTTTTCCTGCGGCAGTTGTGCTATCGCGTAACATTCATTTTCATCCGTATTGTTCGTGACGTCACAGGTAGGCCACTCTAATTCGCTAGCGTATAAAAAGGTCGGTCCAGTGAACCACCTATCCGTATTCGATTTTACGTAAGCTTCGCCTCGCGTTGCGTCATCTGCGACGTTATGTGCAGTAGGCACCCATCTCCACTGTGACGCCGTCGTGGTTTCAGTTATTTCGGTTACACGATGAGCCACATACGGTGTAAAACGCGCTGTATCATTGTTTATCCACTGCAGGACGGTTTTTGAATCGGTCCAATACACGACGCGCTCTGCATGCCATCTTTGTTCTCTCGCTACGGTATTCGCCAACCGCGTAGCGATTAACGCTGCCTGCAATTCCATTCTAGGAATACTTTGTCTTTTTATCGGTGCCACTCTGGCCTTTGCGGCGGCCAGCGTCACTTGCACCGCCCCGTCATTCTCGATTCTCCAATAGACTGCGACGCTATAAGCGACCTCGCTCGCGTCACAAAACACATGTAGCTGCTTTCCCGTCACTCCCCCCGTATAGAGACGCCGGGGTAGACGCAGCCTACTAATGGTACTCATTCCATTAAGCCATTCGTGAAATTCGCCGGCTTCCTCATCAGGTAAGGCCTCGTCCCAGTCTATTTTCAATCGCCATATGTTTTGTAATATAATCTTCGCCCGTATCGTGTAATAACTTAATAATCCGAGCGGATCAAATATAGACATTACTGCGCTTAATGCCTCCCTTTTTGTAGGGGCTCGTTTCATTTCTTTTATGTCCGTATTCACGCGCACCATATCCGTGTTAAATGCCAGTTCGTCCGTAGACGCATCCCACAGCAATCCTAGTGTCCTACCCCATCGGTCCTCGCTTATGGCGAGTTGCGTAGGCGATGTGGCACGGCTCTCTACTGGCAGATCTCGCAACACTTCCGGTCCGTTTGAGTTATAACCGGTTAGCGTGAATCCCGCCTGCGCGTGCACAGTGGCTACTTCCTTTAGCGCATCCATCGCCTCTTGTTCTGTGTCGTAGCAGTCGACATAGTCATCCATGTAGTGACTCT